TGAAGAAAACGATCTTGAAAGCAAAATTTTGAACCTTACAAATTTACAAATAAGGAATGCAACCTATTCTCATAAATACCCAAAAGCCATTGTAGATCTTATGCGGGGAAAAAGAAAGATGCGGAAAAATGCACACGAAACCTTAAGCGACCTTTAGTACACAAAGCCCCAATTAAAAATCACGCTAATCAATGGGCTAAAAGCGATGATGAAAAAGTGGAGGTCTTTTCCGAACACCTGTCAAAAGTGTTTTCCATAGACGAAAACGTTAACAATGCAGTGATCTGCCCTCCTAGGACAGCACATTCATCCTGTATTCCACCAACCACCGAGCTTGAGTTGATGATTATTATTAAAAATGAACTTAAGCTAAAAAAAACCCCAGGTTAAGAATTGATAAGTGCTGAAGTATTAAAAGAAATTCCTGCAAAATGCTTAGTTAAAATTACGAATATATTTAACGCTATAATACAGATGCAAACCCTTCCATCCCCGTTGAAAGTATCTGAAATTATCATGGTACATAAGCCAGGAAAGGATATTAATGACGTAAGTGGTTACAGACCAATAGCACTTCTGCCTGTACTTTCAAAAATATTTGAAAAAGTCTTACTTAAAAGAATCCTTCCTCTGATTGAAAGTCAAAACATAATACCTTTACATCAGTTTGGTTTTAGGTGCAATCACTCCACTATAGATCGAGTCCATACGATTACCAATGTAATAGAAAAAGCTCTTGAGGAAAAAAAAATCTGCTCAGCTGTGTTTTTAGATGTCTCGCAGGCTTTCGATAAAGTCTGGCACTCCGGATTGCTTACCAAAGTAAAAAATATTTTCCCAACGGAGTATTATGACGTAATCTCCTTTTACCTATCTGGGCCCTGTTGCATCAACACTTTTCACTTTGCACTTTGCAAAACTTATGAGTGACTTTTTTTTGCAAAGTAAAAGTGAAAAGCGTTGCACCAAAGACTTAACATAATTTACTTTGCACTTTGCAAATAAAAATTTCATTGCAAAGGCTTTGCATAAAATGCAAAGCAAAGCGTTGCACCAAAAAATTAGATCACTTTCATTTTGTATTGGTTTTTGAAAGCATTTCAATTCTGTATGTATACTTGTTTTTTGTTTGTTTTTTGATGCTATGAGTACATGATTTATACATAGTATGTATGTACTTATGAGTTTAATTTTTGTTCAAAATAAAAGTTTTTAAAATAATATTTTATTTTAATAATTTATATTATTACAATTTGTAATATTTGTATAGTTTTAGTACAATTATATGTTATATATTAATACAAAACACAAAATTTTTGTATATGATTTCTTTTATTGACATTGAATCGTAGATAAAGAAGTTGTATATATCCATAGACACAAGTTTTAGCTTTTAATTAATTTTGCTGCTTGAAAAGTTATAGAAAGAGAATTTATATGTAAAGACTATGGGTATATGTTGTTTTAACAACAATTATGTTGAAAAACAAAGTTAACAAATATAATAAGTTGCTTTTATATAAAAATTTAGTTGAAAATCTGTCATTATTATTTAATTTTAAAATATAAGTTATTAAAGTATTGTTTACTTGTCGCTGTGTATTATCCTAATACAAAAGAAACCTACGCATAAAGGGCCTAAATTACTGATTTTATTTAGAACATTTCTCTCAATTTATACAAAATTACCTTATACCTAACTTAACTAATTTTATTAATTTTAGTGGACTGTATTATTTTTAATTACATTTCAAACAAGGTTCAAAAAACGACGAAAGTCAAGGCACTTGTGATTTTTTCTTCTATTGTCTTTAGAAATATATTTTTATTATCATAATTAGCTACGGATAATTAGATATTTAAAAATATTACAATGTTAGCTATTATAGGATATTTTTTACCAATGTTTTTTCTTAGTTCATAATTCGGAAAATTTGAATGATAACAGACTTATAATAATAATAAACTGATCATTATAATAAATAAGTGTTCATGCTTAAACAATAATTCACATAAAATATTTATATTAAATGTATTATAAAGTTTTTTAATTCACAACTTAAAAGTATTGTCCGGTAATATATCCCTTTAATTATTGCAACTAAATTTATTTCAAAAACAGCAATAATATTTGTTTAAACTAATTTTCTATTTCTATTTTTTTAAAATTATTTTTATTTATTTATTAATGATTTCTTTCATTTTACGCATTGAAAGAAATCACTTTGCAAAATTTGCAAAGTGAATTAATCATTTGCAGTTTTTTTGAAAAGTTTTGCAGTTTACTTTTGCAAAGCGCAAAGTAAAAAGTGTTGGTGCAACAGAAACTGCAA